CAAAATCCCAATTGTGAGATTGTTACGAGAACAGAGCTGCTCACTCTCTGCACCATTCTCTATAATCTCGTGACAATTGCTCTCTTTACAGCCCCAGGCACAATAATGAGCCTTTGTACCCCCACCCCAGTTCGGCTGCAAGGCTGTGCTGTGTGAAAATCTGTGGAATTTGTGCTCTGAGCACCCACGGGTGCAGGGCAGCCCCTGCTTGCCCAGAGCTCTGCTGGGTGGCCACAGCATGGGGGTGGCTGCAGCCAGACCCTCCTGGGCTCCTGTGCTGCCATCAGGAACGGCTCTGCCAGGCAGGCAAGGGAGGAGAAATGAAGGAGGAAAACCAGAATTACAGCACTGGAGTCTGCACGCCCACCCCATTGAACTCGGGTGTTTTTAAAGACAAGTAGATCTTGACTCCAAGCAAAAACCTCCTCTCGTAAATGCAGCGTTTCTGAAGCACTGGTGAAGGCTCTTTTAGCAGCAAGCACCTCTTTTCAAGGGTGAATTTGAACTTCAAATTTAAATCATCTGGGGACCTGACTGGATAACCAAATGGCTGAGCTTTTCAGCTGAAAAGACTCTGTGTTAGACCAAATTCTGATACACATGGTCTATGCCTCCGTTTTCTTGAAGTGGGTTGTAAAATTAGCACCATCCCTTTGGGGTTTGTGTCAAAAATTCACAGGTGAAAAGTGCCACAGGACAGCTCTGCACTGTGCTTGGTCTCACACAACCTCTTAGTCGCTGTTGCTTGGCACTGAATTCACTAGAATTCATTCCTTTGGGTAGGAGTTTCTTCTTTATCATTCATTATCCGTGTCCATACACGGGTGTATGTAAATATCAGTGAGAAGCGTTTGCCTGAAGGTGAAAAAAGATGAATTTGGAGATGAGCTGTGGGCTGGGAACATCCTGAGGTGCTGCAGGTAGGAGATGGATGCTCCTGTGGCCAGGTCTCTGTTGCAGCATCTTCCTCTCCCCTCCCACACAAGAGAGTGTGGAGAAAAATGATTGTGCCCAGCAGGGTTTCAGCGTGACCAAAAACCTCCTAAATAATGAACAGCCACGAGGACTGTGGCTGTCTGGTCTCTTGGGGGATGACCTGCAGGCTGAGGTGTGGGTTTGGGAGCAGAGCCTGCATGCAGAGATGAGCCACAAGCAGGCATCCCTTGTTCTCCTCTCAGTTCTCATTCCTCTGCTTCACCTGCTCACCCAAAGGCTGCAGAAACCTTTGTGACCTGAGCATCAAATGCTTTCCCAATTACTCCTCCTGAAACTGCTATCTTCCTTTCTTCTGGATTAGCCTAAAATGAGGAGGCTGTCACAGACTGTACAGGGCAAATTGTGCTTTTTTTTACAATTACTTGTGGTGGATTGCAGCCAACCCACCTGCTTCAAAGCCCAGAGAGGTTGATTGCAGCTCTGCTTCTCTCGACCTGATATGGGAGCAGTGGTGGCTCTCTCCAACAGCATTTCTGGGGCTGCCAGGCAGCTGACAATGGATGCTGAGATTCTGCTTCAAACAGCCTTGCTCCATTCATTTTACATGAGAGGGTGGCACTCTGAGCTTTTGCTGATTCTTCTCGCTGTGTAGTGTTTGCAGGAGAGATTTGAGAGCCTTTCCCTTCTTTGTTCCCTCGGCAGCAGCTCCAAGGGATTCTGTGTGGCACTCGGGCAGCTCTGCCCTGTGCAAACCTGAGCACGTTCTGAAGGCAACAGGCAGGGCTTCCCCAAAGGACAGCCTTGGAGCCTTGGAGCAGTTCCTCTCCAGCAGCATCACCAGGCACCTCTGACAGCCAGAGCCTGCTGGATCTCAGGAATGTGGAGTTTTTGAGCTTTCTGTGCTTCCAGGCACAAACCCCACTGGAAAACACTGCTCTGGGGCTGGAACTTTGTAAATCTTAACAATGAGCTGGAAATCACAAATGTGCAGTGGGTTAGGTGTGTGTGTTTTCACTGGGTGATGGGTTTTAAATTTTAGGGTTTTATAGTACAGTGGTTGGTATGGGACAAGATGGAGAATTTTGGGTGGTGTCTTTTTCTTTGTTCAACTTCTTCTTCTTCTTCACAGAACTCAGGCAGTGACCTTTGGTTGGTCAGTCAAATGTCACTCTAAGAGTCATGGGAATCTATTATTGGGTTAAAAGGATAAATAATGGAGGTGTTAAACTTTTATTGGTGTGTTTGGCTTTAAAAGGCCTTGAAGCAGCCTCACTGGGGCCATTTTCCCCACTTCTAGCAAGGAGCTGGAGGTGCTGTTGTACTTTCTGTAATTTTTTAATAAGATACAATAAACATCCAAACACGAGAATCACCTCAATCGTGTTTCCATGAATCCTGGTCTGAGGGAAACCAGAGAGAACTGAAGACAAAGCACTCATGAGTGGTGAAAAGCCCAGCACACACCCCCACACAGTGTGGCTGGGAAAGTATGGAGGGGACTAAAAAGAGGAGGAAGTGCAGGGGGACAGGGCTGCAGTCACTGCCAGAGAGTGCAGAGAGTGCCCAGGGCTCCAGCAGTGTCCCAGCAGTGTCCCAGCAGTGTCCCAGCAGTGTCCCAGCAGTGTCACAGCAGTGTCACAGCAGTGCTGCCAGGGAATCACAGCTCCCACCATGCAATCACAGCTCCCACCATGCAATCACAGCTCCCACCATGCAATCAGTTCTTTGTCCTGGGTCTGCAGTGGGTCCCAAGTGAAGAACAAGGGCTGGGCATTTTCTGTCCATGCTCGAAGTTCCTTCAGATGAGCCAAATCTACTTTCTAGCACCAACCTTAGTGAGGTTAGTGAAGAAAACACAGCAGTAATTAAATATGTGAGAGTGGAACTGAGGCTTCCTCATGTGAGCTTTGGTCTATGCTGCTTTATCACGGGATTCAGCTGGATTTTCTTTTGAATTATCTTAAGAAACTCAAATTCCAGATAGAGAACTGAAACAACAATGGCTCCCTTCAAATTTTCTTATTCAGGCTGGGTTATTTTCTGGGAGATGCACTTGAGTGAATCCTGAGCTCTGACTGCTACACAAGATCACTGGGTGAACTGTAGCATAGTTCTATACCCTGCTGTGTACTTACCTTTTGGTCAGTATATAAATGATTGGATGGCTCTGTCTAGACATAAAATCTGTGAAATTTGTAAGCCTAGACTGATATTTTTATAGCTACAATTAATGTCCATCTTTCAGTTCCCTAATTTAGCACCTTTCTTGCCTGCTGACAAGAACATTTGATGCAGCAAGAAGAGAATCTGAAAAATTAGCTCTGTCTTGTCAGATATTAGTTATTCCCCCGATCCAGCCTTGATGTTTATCCCTCCCTCTTTGAGTTTTCTTAATTATTTCTGTCTTGTATTAATTCTCACATAACTCCCTAGATGTAAGCTTTATGGTTTAGAGTCTCAACTGCTCATTCAATTAATGGGCTTGCTTAATGTGCTTAAACTTTCAGAGACACTCGTGACACATTATGAGGGAGGGAAAAAAAAGATTCCAAGTATGCTCCATCTCATTTGTGGTACTCCTGAGCCTGAAGCCCATTCTAAGCTCTTTATCAGATTATCTGGATTTATTATTTTTATATTCTTGTGCTCATTAAGCATTTATGTGGAGGAGTATTCTCTCCAGAAGAGTGACTTGGTTTCCTCTGCCCCCATCCCTCATCTCCTGGCTTAGCCTCTTTGTAAATGAGCAATTGTAGTTTCAGTCTGTTGAGGAGGATCTGGGAAGCTGACTTGAAAATGGCAAATATGGAAGGACAGATCTTTTACTTCATAGCTGGATATTGTGGTTTTTTTGAGCAAAACAAAGCATCTGCCAGAGATCTTCTCTAATTTTTCTTGGCCCAGTAACCCCTAATCCCTGCTAATATCTGAAAACATTTGAGGTTGGTTTGCAGAGGGAACCCTGCATGAGTTATCTCAGTAATTCCAGAAAAATTTAAACATGGGGTCAGCCAGGATCCCTCTGGATCTGGGTGCCAGAGCCTTGCAGAGTGTGAGACAGAGCAGTCCTGACAGAACAAAAGGATTTCAGGACCACGAGCACATCATCAGCTGTGGCTTTCAGAGATTAAAACCACACTGTGTGGGAAATGATCACCTCCCTCTCCTCAAAGCAGAATGCAAACCACATACAGATAAAATCCCTGTACACGTGCAGGTGTATAACTCATGTTATACATGTATATAAACACGAATATTGCACATGAATAAATACATGAATGTTCTACACGGCTCTGTGTTTGTGTATATAATCTACAACTACACACACATATTTATAAATATATTAGAAGCCCCTTCCTGACAAAGGACTCCTGTCTTCCAGGATGCAGACTGAATTAGTTGCTACATCATGGTTTTATATAAATAAGATCTGTGCTCAGGACCTTGATTTTGTGCCAGAAGATCCCTGGAACCCCGAGGGCAGAGGAGTTGTAGTTCACAGCCCACACACTCGTTTTAGCAGTGATTTCATGGAATGCCACGAAGCAACCGTGAATACATTCTGTTAAAACAATTACTGAGAAGTTCTAAAAAATAATGCTTCTGCTGCACTTCTGCTCATGAGCCATAAGGGGATCTTTGTCTTTCAGCACTACAGTGCTCAAGGAAAAGAGAAAGGATTCTGCTTTATGGTTCTGAGTCAGTCTTTTTCTTACTAACATATGGCCCCATTTCTTCCTGGTTCTTTAAGCAAGTTGTAAACATAAACGTTGATGCACATGGAGCTTGATTCATGAAGAGTTTAATTTGCCTAATATAAAAGATTCACACAGGTTATATAACATCATTAAATTATTTTTGTAGTTCGAGTAGTATCCTTTGAGGAAAGCACAATTCTTTCCCTGGGGTCCATTTATCACTGTTTGCTTCTAATTAGAAAACTGGAAATGCAATATGCATGACTCACATTTGCACTGTTGTCTTAGGACTGATGTATCATCCTTGTTCTTCCTCAGGAGCTTTTATTCCTTTCCTCATTTTTTATATATATATTTTTTTTTAAGGTTTCTGACAGCTGTGACTCCATCTTCGTTAATGGCAAGGAAATGAAGAGCAAAGTGGATACTATTGTGAACTTCACTTATCAGCATTTTACCACCCAGCTGGAAGTGACAGTCTGGGTTCCCAGGCTCCCTCTGCAGATCGAGATCTCTGACACAGAGCTCAGCCAGATCAAAGGCTGGAGGATTCCTGTCACCTCCAACAAAAGGTACGTTCTCATTTTAGAACACGGCCATTTCTGCAGCATTCCTCCCAATCCAAACTCTCCTCTTTGCACCAGCCTCACCTTTCATTAAAACACCCAACAATTGCTGTGGTTTATTCTGATCTGTACCGTTTAAAAGTCATTAATCCACACAACCTCTATCACACAAAGCTGAGTGTGTGTGTGTGTGTGTGTGTGTGTGACATTCAGCAGTGCCAGGGCTCAATTCCTGCCTGCTGTGACAAACAGCAGAGCCAGGGAAGGCTCCAGGTGTCACTGCCTTGGAGCAGGTGACCAGTCCAGGTCTCTTCCAACCCAAATTTTCAGACCTGGCTGCTGCTTTACTTAGCAGCTCTGAATTAATTAAGAAACAACTCCTACTGAAGACCATGTTCCACCAGGAAAAAGTGGTCAGGAAAAAAGGGAGTGGAAAGAGAGTGGAGATTTTGAGCTTTGATGCCATCATTCCCTACTGAAAATGCCCATTCTCTAATGACCATCACTTGCACAATTTGCAATATTAAGAACTTCCAGGAATGCTGCTGTGCTGGTGGATTTCAGGCAAAGTTGAAAAATATTAGTGGGGAAAAGGTGTGACAGCAGCTCAGATTTATAACCCAGTGAAAAAGCCTTGCTGGCAGCAGCAAGTGCAGTGCTGAACACTGAGGCTCTTCCAGCCAAAGCTCTCCAGTGCCCAGGAAAACATCTCAGCTCCTGAAGAGCCCAGGCAGCAGTGCAGGAGAATTTCCCAACACTTTATAAGGGCACAAAACCACACAGGACACGATTTGCAGGGTAGCCAGACCAAGAACTGCAGAGAAGGGCAATGATTGACCTCTTGATTATGTGGATTTTTTTTTGGCTATGACAGAAGAAGTGCTGAGAATGTGACACGAGAGAAATCAGAGTTTTTGCCTCAGTGGCCGAGGCAGTTGCTGTTTGAGCAGGAAGAGCTGTGCTAGGTGAGGAATGAAGGGATTTAAGCCGACTGTTTAAACCTGCCCTGAAACTTCCCTTCTCCTGCCTGTGCTGTCCCAGCCCTGAGGCACAGATCTGCTCAAAGCAGTGGGGATTCTGCTGAGCACACGGCTGCAGGATTAGGCTGGTGTTTATTGCAGCAGCAGAAATCCAGCCCCTGCTTAGCAATCCTGGGCATCCTCCAGTTAAAGCCATTACAGGCAGCTCTGGAAATTCCCCCCTGGTGTCTCCCTCTGATTTATTTGGCCAGCAGAAATAAAGGGAATGCTCTGAGAGCCTGCTCTGCTTGCAGGCTGGCAAACTTTGCAGAGTTTTGGTGCAAAGCATTTGCTGCTGCTGCAAAAAGGGACAGAAATTTGGACACTGTGCCATCCCCCTGGAAGGTCCATGCCCAGCTGAACAGCAAAGGTTTCAACAGGAAATAAATGATCTCTTGTTTTATTGACCATTCATGGGGATTTTTTTAACTTTGCAAGGCTATTCTGAATCAATAGTTCAGAGCCAGCACTAGTGGTGCTCACTCTGACATTTACTTTGCACATAAGGTTTTTACATTTCCTTTATTTTTAGATTTGGGTGGTCTTTACCAGAGATTTAGTGGCTTTTCATTTTGGTTCTTTTTTTATTATTATGACTTTTCTCTTTACTTTTTAATCTGCTTATACCTCCACCTCCTGTGTGTTTCCCAAAATCCTAAACATGGGGGAGTTTTTATGAGTTTTTAAGTGATAAGCTGAAGCACTCAAGACATTTGGACTGCAGTCAGGAGCTGTAGGCTTGAGAGTGAGCAGAGTGCTTTTATCTTTGCAAAAACCCCAAACCCAAACATTTCCCAGCAGGTGAAGCCATAGCATTGTGTTGTTTCAACTTCACCTTCATGCAAGAACCAATATTGGCAATCTGCATGAGGTTTTTGATATCTGTCCTTGAAGGAAACTCAAGAATTCTTTCCAAAGTCCCTGACAACAGGCTTAGGCACCATTAAACTTAGCCCAGAAATCAAAACTAAAACTCTGTCACTGCTCTGGTCACGGCAGGATTGCAGTGTGGGCTCTCCATAGCTCACCTCACAAACAAAATCATTTCCCACTTTGCTCCTGTCCTGCAGGGTTGGTGTCCTCACACCACTCCTCTCCTCAGCAGGAACTAAACATTGTTATAAAGTTATTTATCAATATAGAGCAGGTAAAATGTATTTTTAGAGGGATTGTGCAGAGACACTTGAGCAACCTCCAAACTTTCTTTGCTCTCCTCTGGCTGCCCCAGGGTCTCATTCCCACTGCCCCAGCTGCTTCACTGCTCTCAGGGGCTGAGCCAGATGGCAAAATAAATACAACTGGGTTTCCAATAATCTAATCCAATAATTTAATTCCAATAATTAAATGGTTTTCTTGGTGCTGTTAACAAAAGAAACCTTTGTGCCTCAGCATAGCTGTTCTTCATCTGGATATAGCTGCTCTCTGTCAGACCTGAGCAAGAGTTTTCATGCCCCAGATCACATCTGATCTTTCCAGGGATGGTTGTTGAGGCAATAAAATGTCTTGTTCCTCCCTATAAACCCTGCCATGCCTGTAATTGTAAAACACATGTGATTACAGACATGTTTGCCTATCTGACTTCTTGAATAATTTCCACAAAGCAATGAAGAAAACAGGATCTTTACAAAACTTTTACAAACACCCCATGCACACTTTGAACTGTGCTGGTTTTTAGCTGGTCTGAGCTGCTGCAAGAGACCAGAAAGGAAAAGACAGGCTGCTTTTATGCCAGAAACTGGAAAAAAACCCCAGCTCATCTCCCCTGTGTAAGAGCAGCAATATAATTTACCAGATCAGCCTGCAAATACATGGCAAACCTTTGATATTATCAAGAGGAGAACTTGATCTCTGGTGAGTGCTGCTGCAGATAGGAAGAGCCTCCCCTGGCAGGTGAAATTCAGCTCCACAATCCTGTCCTGAGTGATGCAGGGAGCCAGCACAGGCTGCACAAACCCCAGCCTCAGCAAACAACAGGTGTATATTTAAATTAAAGTCAAATATTAGAGTGTAGAAGAGGTCCAGGCAGACTCTGCTAGTCTAACAAGAACATTTATTTCTATTCCTCGTGCATCTGCAAAATAATTACCTTCTTCTTGAGGTTCCTGCACACATATTTACATGGCCTGAGTGGCTTCAGCTTGCATTAATAGGAATTGCATGGCTAAAGTCTCACAGAACAAGCTGGAAATTTAATTTCAGTAAATATTTGCAGCTGGGATAGGACATTGTTTTCAGGAGATTCCCAATATCACCAGGCTTCACTTCAGGCAGAGTTTTTGGGATTTGATCAGCTCTGTTTTAGTTCTGTGCAGTTCTGGAGACAAAAGCAGGAAAAGTTGGCCTGAGTTAAAAGCAGGACAAAAAAAAAAACAAACCTGCTTTAGTTAAACCTTCAGTGAGTGCTGCCCCTCAGAAGTAAAGCTGCACTTTAAGGCAAATTAAGAGGATTGGATTCAAAGCATTCCATGTGTGGGTAACAGCATCTGCACAAGGCTGGAACACGCTGTAAATTTGCTCCTTTAGTTAATTGACTTTAATGTCCTATGGAGAAAAGGCCTTGGAGAGTTTGGTTAATAGGTAGGCTGTATTTTCAAGATCTGTAAAAGTACCAAATTACATTTCTTCTTGAACTGAGTGGAGTTATGTGCAGCTTATTTCTGTAGCTCCCACTAAATCACCTTCTAGTGGTTTGTAATTTGTATCTGAGAGAGATTTTTTTTTTTTTCAATTAGGGGTGTTGCAAATGTTTTTTAAATATACGACTCTTTGTAATGAGTATTTCAAATCCAAACCCAGCAAAACTGATTTCTTTGGGGTTTGGTTTTTTTTTTTTTTTTAAAAAAAAACCAGAAAATTAGCATCTGGCCCAAGAAGTGATGGCTGGTTTGAGAGGGGTGCAGATTAAAAGAGACACACTTCAACTGCTCAGAGACAATGTGTGTAATGTGGAGCTGACAGATCCCTGATTAGATCAGGGCTCCCAGGCACCCTTGGAACTGGCTGCTGCTTTAACTCAGCTCCCTGGCAAAGCCTTCCTCTCTCTGAAATGTAAATTAAATGGAATTCTGGCAACCTTGGCTCTCTCCAGAAAAGCAAAAAAAAAAAAAAAAACAACTTCCAAGCAAGTTTGCCAAGCAGTAAGAAATAGGGTAAGAAGGACTCAGAGAGATTTTCAGAGATGACCAAGGGGAAAAAAAAAGCACAATATGCAGCAACAGCTGATATTCACCAGGACTTGTGTTAAGCAGAAAATGAGCTCCCTGCTTAATGAAGGATTTGAAGCTTACTGAAAACACTGTAATGAGGAGTTTAAAGGGAACTGTGCAATTCACTGGATCTAAAACATTTTGTTGCACACATGGAGACAAAACACTGACTTACTGCCACTTGATTTTGTGGCTTTAAAGTGGAAAAATTACATCCTTTGTTAAAAAACGACAACAACAACAACAACAAAAAAACCCCCACACACAGAATAACAAAAAAAAAACCAACAAACCAAAAAAAAAACCCCAAAACCGAAACAAAACAAAACAAAACAAAACAAAAAAACAAAAACAAAAACAAAAACAAAAACAAAAAAACAGAAGGAACTTGAGACTTGGCAAAGCAGATTTGCAAAGCTTGTACTGAAAATTCAGATTTTTTCCTAAACCTGCCTCTCCTCTGCAGTGACAAAGAACGTGCCTTGCTCACCCTGGGCTTTGCAGAGCCTTTTCTGATGCTCCACATTTGTTTGCCATAGAAAACCTGATTCTGAGGAGCAGTACATAAACATCTCTAAATGTTTCCGGGCTGAAATGGAGCCTTTGCATTTAAGATACCCCAAGGAATGGGCTGGACTTGAATCATCTTTTTGTTGTGGTAAATACCAGCTGCCCACACAGTCCTAGTCTGCAAATAAGGACAGGAGTGCTCCCTCCCTCTGTGGCCCTGAGCAGCAATCCTCCCCTCTGGTCATTCCACAGCTCGTATTTATGAGCTGGGACTGGAAAAGAATTCCCTCCAGTTGTTTGGAATAGATTTCCTCTCGGACAATCCAGCGGTGCAAAGTTTTAAGCAGTGCAAGTAGAAATAAACAAGCACATAAATAAACATAACAGCGAGCCATTGCATCTGAATAAAACATCGAAGCACAGAATGGTTTGGGTTGAAAGAGACCTTAAAGATCATCTTGTTCCAAGCCCTGCCCTGGGCAGGCACAAACTCCAGGTTGGTGTAGCAGGAGCAGAAAGGGAATTGTGTAAAATGATGCTGCTGTGGATGTCGAATGTGTGAACATTTCCTACAAGGCACACAGCTCAGCCTCTGGGTGTGTTTTCCCAGAACAAGGCTGTTCCCATCACTTCTGTGCTCTTTTACCCCAAATCCCATAAGTGCTCCTTACCTGAACAGCTTTTGCACATTTTTCTCCAGTTCTGCTCAGGCACTAATGTGACTGTCTGTATGATTAGGAGAAGGTCAAATCCCAAAATCTCAGAGCTGAACTTGGTTTGGCCAAAGTCTGAGATTGTTCAGAGCTGAGTTGAAGAGGGTCAGAATAGAGGAATAAAGTGAAAATGGGAGCATTAAGGAGTTCATGGATTCATTTACAGCACAGATGGATATGGAGCACAGAAGCTCCATGAATATTCCTCCTTCTAGAACTTTCTTTGTGTCTGCTTTGCCAACTGTGAGCTGACTTCAGACTGACACCAGTGTTGGGAAGGAGAGAACAACTGGGAAGTTTCCCTGAAATACCCAGCTAATCAAACTCTGTAACACTGATTTCTTTGGGAAATCTAAATCCTATTTTAGTAGCTTTTTCCCTAACAATTCCACTGTTATTCAATGATATTTCATTCAGCAGGTAACGATGGACACTTGTTTTACACACACAAAACCAAAAGGTACCACAGACCATTTACTTGAGGCTGAGTGTAAATATTCAGCTCACAAGTGATGCATTGAAAATGTATTTCCAGTGGATTGGCTTCTGTAACACTGGGACTTTCAGTCATTTTGAAGAGCACAAGGGTTTTTCTTAGATATGTTTTCAGCTTACTGGCTGCCAACTTTGTCATAAAACAATTTATAACAAAAGCAATTCTGTTTTATAATAGTTTTTCATGGCTGCTATTTCAAAGGAGAAGATAAAGGGACACTGTAACCACAAAACTACCTCCTGCAATACTTTGAAAAATAAGATTTACCCTGTATTTCCCACCCTGGAGATAGAGGTGGCTTCAGGCTCAATAAATACAGGAGGGAGAGGAATTATTTCTGAACAATGAATCCACAGCATGGGGGCATAATGAGTAAAAGTGTGACCACCTACTGCTTAATACCTGACTTGGAAGACATAAGAGGATCCATGTGTTTGTCCCAGGCAATGAACAAGAGAAAAGAAAAAGATGAAATATTAATATTGGTGGTAAACTGGGTCTTTAAGCAGACAAAACTCTGTGAGGTGTGACAGCAGTGCTATCATGTACAAATCACTGTGATCCCTTCTCTGAGCTTTAGGGAAAGCTGCTTTTATTGCACAGGCTGTGTTTTGAAATGGGAACAGACAGAAAATGCTGGAGATGTGTCTGATGGTGCAGCTGTTTCTGCACGGGGTAATCTGAGTAACCCAGGCCCTGAGTGGGAGCATAAATGCCTGCTTTGGGTTTTGGAAGCCACCTGAGGTCACTGCACGACTGAGCACAGCAACACTGCATGGACTGTGTGAGATGTGGGGTAAAGCCAAGGTTTTTCAGAAGCAGAGGAATCAGTGAAGCACAGCAGGGCTGGGATGAGCTGGGGTGGCTCTGCCTCAGCAGTGAATGCCAGAGGTGTTACAGATGTGAGGGCAAGAGCACAGAAATACAGATGTTGAAAGGGTGGTAAAACATCTCCCACCTCCATGAGCTGCTGCAGGGCTTTGTTGCACAACTGCCCTCTCCTAAACATTTCCCTCTGCTTTCTTCAGCCCTCTGCACCTTTTCCTGCTGTCTGGAGAAGGGGCAGTGGCTCCAGGGGGATCCACAGCACCAAGAGTCCATTCTAAAATGGAGAAAAGCAAGGTGGAATAAACCCCCTATGACTGAAATGCTGATTTTTTCATAGCAGATGTGCTCTTTTATGGAATTTAAATCATGTGCACTACATTGAAATACACGGTAGTGTATTGTGAAATGCATACATTAATTGCTGAATTATAACACTGGATATGTATATACATCACACCCGAGATATTTATACAATATAATAAGTCTTAGATGCATAACATAATGAATTCTGTACAAAATAAACTGTAAGTTAAGACAATGAAACAGAACTTTTATATCTGTGTAATTTGTATGCTGATTAAGTTGTTCAAGCTTCACTTTTCATCTTTTAATGTGCCCTTTAAAAAAATACTTATCCCAGCAATGCCAGACAGATTTCCAACTTGCTGGGCAGTCCCAACCAAGAAAGGATTTACTGCAGGAAACAACAGCAGCTTTTAAATTGCACAGCAATTGCACAAACACCTCCCCAAGATGCTCATCTGTGTGCTGAAAGTGATAAAATCCAATTAAGTGCTGAGGACAATGAGGGATCAGGGCAGGTAACAGAGCTGGATGTGTTCACAGGCCCACCCGTGACAGCGAGGATGAAGAGGATGACGAGAAGAAAGGCAAAGGCTGCACCCTGCAGTACCAGCACGCCTTGGTCAGGGTCCTGACTCAGTTTGTGGCCGAATCCTCGGAGCTTGGAGGCCACCTGAGCTACCTGCTGGGCTCGGAGTGGCAGTTTGACATCACCCACCTGGTGGCTGACTTCATGAAGGTGGAGGAGCCCAAGGTTGCCAAGCTGCAGGAGGGCAGAGTGCTGGCTGGGCGAGAGCCAGGCATCACCACGGTGCAGGTACAGCCCCGGGGAGGGTTCACACACACCCCCAGGGCTCAGGTATCACCACGGTGCAGGTACAGCCCCGGGGAGGGTTCACACACACCCCCAGGGCTCAGGTATCACCACGGTGCAGGTACAGCCCCGGGGAGGGTTCACACACACCCCCAGGGCTCAGGTATCACCACGGTGCAGGTACAGCCCCGGGGAGGGCTCACACACAGCCCCAGGGCTCAGGCATCACCACTGATGGATGATGGATGATGGATGGATGATGGGTGCAGGTACAGCCCCAGGGGAGGGCTCACACACACCAGGAAATTCATTGATCCCAGGGAAAAAAATTAAAATTAAAAAAAAAAAAAAGGTGAAAAAATGGGCATGCTAAACAGAAAAGGAAGTTTCATTGTGATTATTTGTCACTTCCATAAAATGCCCTTAGGTGCAGCTTTTGAAGGGGTTTATCCATCTTAGTGTGACTGGAACACAGGGAGGTTTCTGTGGCTGGTGAAAGAGGTGACAGCCAGCTGCTTTTAACTCCAGTGGGGCCACATGAGCATAACTGCTGGGAAATTGGACCAAACATCTACATGCACCTTTATATGCTTGAACATCTTGGGAAAATCTGTCCTTTTAATGTTCACAAAGTTCTGTCACCAGTATAAAGACGTGTCTCTTTCTGAGAATGCTGGAAACAAGGTCTTAGAGCAACTGGCAGGAATGTTTTGGCATTGAAAAATGCAGGCAGGCACCCAGTGGGATTTTCAAAGTTCTTTTGCAGGTCTCAATTTCATTTCATTCAGGTCCTCTGTCCCTAGAAAGGCAACAGGCCAAGTTCCTATCAGCCAGCCTTTGAACACTTATTTATCCCCTCACTGAGTTTCAGTGTTAATCAGTGTCTTGCACTCTGTCCTGAGCTGCACTGCATTCACAGGGAGTTTTATAGACACCACAGAAATGACTTTTTTAAAAAAAATCCATTTAATTTATTCTATATTATATATATTTTGTCCAGATCAAGCTGCAGTTCTGAAGTGATTTGTAGCTTTATTAAATTATTTTTTTTTTTTTAGATAAAGCAATTTAGCAGCAATTGAGTGTAATGTCTTGGGGGAAACATCAGCTCTGGCTCAGACATGGACGTGACAAACCCAGGATTAATCTGGTGTGCTGGTCAGAGGCCAGCCTTGCTTTAAAACACTTCATTGCTGTTTCATGCAAGGTGTTTTTTGCTTTCTCCTCCCAGGTTCTGTCCCCTCTGTCGGATTCCATCCTGGCAGAGAAGACAGTGATAGTTCTGGATGACAGGGTGACCATCACAGACCTGGGAGTGCAGCTGGTGTCAGGCTTGTCTGTGTCCTTACAAAGCAGCAAAGCAAACAAGAGAGCCATGGTGGCCACCACCTCTGCCCACGACATCCTGAGGACTCCCAAACAGGTTTGCTGCAAAAAAACACCCCCAGTTCATTTATGTGTTCCCTCTGCTTGCTGTAAATTTTAGGCAGCAGATATAACGAATACATGGCTGTGGAAAGGAGTCACTTCTCGAAGTAAAGGATCTTCATCCTCCTCACCAACCCCAGGTGCCAAGGCCCTTTCAGAGTGACCTGAAATTCTGCAGAGCTGCTCTGGGCACCTGCACAGCACAGGGAAAGGGATGGATGTGTCTGGGAATGCACAGTGCCAAACACAGCATGCGTGTGCCACGAAAAAACCACTTTTTCTGGGGGAAAATACAGCCTGGCTGTGCAAGCAGAGCTGGGAATGCCATTCATTAATTGTCTCACAAAATCAGCTCAGCCAAAACGACCTCTGGCTGCAGGTACAGAAGTTTCCATGACCTGTGCTGCTGAAAACTGATGAGTTTGTGCTTACTTTGAACCATACAATCCGAGGAGTTAAATAGCTTTTAATGAGACCACAGAACAAATTCTGCATGTGGTTTTTTTAATAGATTTTATAGAACTGAGGTTCTACATCAGTGCAGAGAGTGTAACTATATTTTTTGCACTAGCAATTTGCAGTAAGAAGACAAATTGGTTTGGTCAAAACATTAAAATGGTGTTTCTGTAATTCCCAGGAAAGACCACCATCACTTTTGCATACTGCAGGTCCTGCATATTTGAAAGCATGACAGAAAATATAAAATACTGCATTGAGATGTGTTCTGCTCCCAGTTTGTTCCATGGGCTGGATGGGCTCCCTGGCCTGACACATTCCAGCTCTGCTCATTGTATTACAGAAGGCACTGGAACTGCAGCATGAGAGAAATTCCCCATTATAGGTCCTTTATAAACCTAATTGACCATGATGTTGGAAATATGATTATTTTCATCACGAGGCTCTGGCATTCAAAGGAGGCTTCCCACTTCAGACTGAGAAAAAAGAATTGTCAATTGTCTTTTCCAGCACTTTTATTAAATTTAGATGAGTGTTTCTTTGATAGTTCCTGAAGGTGAGGTAAATGCCTCAGTGGTCTGGAGAACACAAGCCTGCAAGAAAATGAGAAGCAGAGCAGACATTTACATTTTCTTTATAAAAACAAACCCCAAAGATAAACTCTGTATTTTTTATTTTTTTTTCAGATTTAACACCATAACGTCTGATTTGTGCTCTCTCTCTGTCTCTCTCACACATTTTTTTTTTTTTCCCCAGGAGGCCGTGGTGAGCGCTTGGGTTCTGTTCAGTGACGGGTCAGTGACGCCCTTGGACATCTACGACTCCAAGGACTTCTCCATGTCCATCAGCTCCCTGGATGAGATGGTGGTGTCCTCACACCACAGCCTGCAGTCCCTCTGGCCCGTGGTGGTGGCAGAAGGGGACGGCCAGGGGCCCCTGATCAAAATTGAGATGGTCATCAGCGAGCCCTGCCAGAAAACCAAGCGCAAGAGCGTCCTGGCAGTGGGGAAAGGAAACGTCAAAGTGAAGTTTGGTCAGAAAGATTCCGACCAAAAAGGGAGCACCAACGACATCGAGGATGTGGAGAAAGATTTCAAAAGCCATGCCAGCAATGCCATAGAGAAAGCTGCAGAACAAGAGAGGACAGCACAAGACTGGTCCAAAAACCACGAGGACGTGTCCGGTCCCGAGGACAATGCGAACAAAAGCACAACTTTGGTGTCTCCCATTGATCAGGAGTCCCTGGAGGATGGCCAGCTTCAAAACAACCCCACTGCCTTCACAGGGTTCCCTACCCAAGTAGAAATACCAGGGGAGAACAGTCCCAGTGATCTCTCATTGACTTCCAGAGGATTGACAGACCTGGAGATCGGCATGTACGCGCTGCTCTGTGTTTTCTGCTTGGCAATCTTGGTCTTTTTGATTAACTGTGTGGCATTTGCTTGGAAGTACAGGCACAAAAGGTTTGCTGTGAGTGAGCAAGGCAACATCCCCCATTCCCATGACTGGGTCTGGCTTGGAAATGAGGTGGAGCTCCTGGAAAACCCAGTGGACATTTCGCTCCCGTCAGAGGAGTGCACTACCATGATTGACAGAGGGATGCAGTTTGAAGAAAGCAACTTTCTCCTTAATGGGAGTTCTCAGAAGACTCTTCATAATCATATCCTCAGATCTTCTGAGTACCTTTGTGAAAAAGAAGTTAAAAGTGAACCTATAAATCCTTCTGGGCCAAAGCAGAAGCGAGTAAAGTTCACTTCATACACAACAATACTGCCAGAGGATGGAGGCCCCTACACCAACTCAATTCTATTTGACAGTGATGATAATATTAAATGGGTATGCCAAGATATGAATCTTGGTGATTCCAAGGAACTTAGGGACTATATGGAAAGACTGCAAGACAATATGTAAAACTACTTTCTTATGTTTGTAATCACCTTTATGCCTTCTGTTTATGGATGGTGGAGCAGTCAGTCCAGTCAGCAATAGGAACAAGACAAGCCTGGAGGTACTGAGATGATAACCTGATGTCAGAGAGCAGGTACAAGAGGCTGGCTGAGTTAATCCTGTTTCACCACAAACCAGGATGTGCCCCTAAAACAGCTCCCTGTAGGTGTTGGAGGTGTCACACACGATGGCTGTTGTTGTTGTTGTGTACTGCCTGGTACGAGCAAAATGCGAATCCAACTGCGCTCAGACTCAGAGGAGACTCCATTTGTTTGTCATCTCCCATGGTCAGTGGTAAATGAGAAAAGAAAGGGATGTTTGTTTGCATTGATTTTTTTTTTTCCTGGTCGTCGTCCTTTGTAAAGCACAGTGGACATTTCTTGCTTACAGCCTGAGAGGAGGCTCACGGAAAAAGGGATTGGAATGAATCTCACTTTATTGCCTATGTGCAATGCAGCCAAGTAGTCTTATTATTTTTTACAGATATAAAAAAAAAACCCCATGTGGTTAATTTCTTCTTATATTGTTTGTGAATTTTATTTGACTTAGGGAACATTAAATGTTTTCTTTTAAGGGGGTTGGTTTTTTCGTTTTGTTTTTGGTTGTACCAAAGTGTAGTACGGTAATATTTATAATGATTTTGAGTTTTTTATTCATCTCCTTCAGCCCCCAGAGATACCTCCCTCATCATTGATTATCTTCCTCCTTTCCATATGGGTCGTTAGTATTTGAAACATAGAAAGGAATTAGAACTCTTACTGGGAAAGGCTTGTGTCTTCTTACAGGGAACTGTAAATATAATAATAAACCCTGGAAAATAAAAATCAAGGAGTAGCCCTGGGTTCACTTTTGTCACTGCTAATATGAAAAAATAACCTGTAAAAAAAAAAAAACAAACAAACCAGCATCTACTTCAGAAGGGGAATGCTTTGCTGAAACAGCAGCTTGGCTGACAATACACGTTATTATCTGAGTGAGAAAGTCAAACGTGGGACTGAAATGCATAAAATAGGAAGGAAATTTCCCAGGAAATAAGCAAAGCTTGGAGTCCCCGTTACTCTGGACTAATGAATCCATAGGTGGCAGAGTTCAGCAGGCCAGAGAAGTTCATGCTCAACAGCCCCAGACCTTGTCTAAAACATCCCTGGCCATGAAGCCATTAAAGAGAAAAAATTGACACCATGTTTCATTAAAAAGGAAAGAAAATTCACATTGGGACTGCAGTCACACAAGGGACTATCCAATTTTATCAAGGAAAACATGCTGGAAGTTCAAAGCTGCCATTTCATATGCATCACATGTATTTTTTTACTGAAGGATGACTGAGATAAGCTGAAATTACAGTTAGGAAAAACCTGAATCTACAGAATACTCAAACCCTCAGTAAAGCACATGTTCCTGTGCAATAACCACAAGAGCTAAATTACAGCTGCCTTCCATAATGGAGTTCCCATCTTTTAGGTAGATCAAAGCAAGATTTGAATTTATAGCTCAGTGGTGGCATTTGAACAAACCAGAAAACTGTGGGAAATTCTGGTTTTGGGTCCTAATCCACAACTGGGAATATATTTAATGTAACTGCTGCAAAATGCAGGAATTTCAACATTGGGACTAAAAGTGAGGACACCAGGCTTATATAAGTGATTAGAAACTTCCTTTTGCTGGCACGGAGCTGCACAGGGAGGGGATGGCATCTGTTATGATCTAATTTGGAGGAGAGAAAATAATAGAGCACAGATATGTTTCTGTTTCATAAGGGATTGTGCGTCACATGAAGTCTTGGGTTGTTTAACAAATGTTCTCTCCCTTCCAATGATCCAGGAAATAAGGGAAGATGAATTCCTTATCACTAACAACATCAAAACCACTTTTTAGAATTTAACTTCTCTTCCCGACGTGTTATTTTGTATTTGGCCCAACCAGAGAGCAGAACAAAAAAAAACCCCTCCTATTTCCTATTGTTTGCACAATATAATATAAAGTAACCACTAATTGATTTAGTCCTGAAATCAGAGGAACCAATCTGCTGGCAGGGCCAGAGAGCCCAACCAGTCCTGAGTGCAAACCCCTCGGTTTCCTTGTGGAAATCTTTCCTTCCACCCCTGCCAAGGCTCCATTTCCTCATGGAAACTTCTCCTGCCATTCCCACTGAGGCTCCATGTCCTCATGGAACCCTTTCACCCTTTCCTTTAAATCCCACTGAGGCTCCATTTCCTCATAGAAACTTTTCCTTCCACCCCTGCCAAGGCTCCATTTCCTCATGGAAACTTTTCCTTCCATTCCTGCCAAGGCTCCATTTCCTCATGGAAACTTTTCCTTTCATTCCCACTGAGGTCCCATTTCAGAGTCCCTGGGCTGCTCCTCTGCCTCACCCACGGTAACAGAAATCAGAGATTTCCCTCACCTGGGAAAATCTCCCTTGGAGCATCCCAAAGTGCTCCCTGCTGTCCCCCTGGGGTGTCCCAAACCTTGTCTGTCCACCCATGGAGCCACCAGAGGACACCTGGGGCCATGCCAGCCCTTTCCTGGTGCTCCTGGGGTCTGACTGCCCCCAAATCCCCCCTGGCAGGAGCTCAGGTGCCTGGGGCTGTGTTCTGTTTGGTTTTGTTTGAGGGGTGAAATCCCAGCTGGACCCTGAAGGTCCTCAGGGAAGTTTTTGGTGGCTGAATTTTTGAGGTGTCATCCTCACAATTAGTGGCCATCAGGAAGGAGCACAGCTGCTACTGGGAACCAGTTAAACCACAGAACTGGGGACAGCTGTGCACAAAAACACCCAATCCCCAAACCTTGCAATGAAGGGGAAAAAAGAAAAATCTGCAGGTTCATAAACTTTTCTTTTTCTTTTCCATCACGTGTCATTACATGAAAGCTCTTACATGGAAAATGGCAATACAACCTGGAAAAAAAGCAATACAAGAAAAAAAAAAAAAAAGAAAAGAAAAGAAGTGGGAAGAGAGAACTCTCTATTTTCAGTAAAACTGGGATAACACCAATAAAGTGGAGTTATTCTGGATTTATCCTGGCTTGAGCATCTATGCTACTTCTTGTAAGATAAAAGGAAAATATATTCAACATGAATATACTTGATGCAAAATAGTTCTGAGTTGATCAGTTCCTTTTAAATTAAATATCTCAAATTTTAATTTCAAAATGAGGGCGTACTCTAAATTTAATTTAAATTCAATTTTAAATTATTTTAAACTCCTCCCCCCCAATTTCCCCATTCACCTAAATATTTTTCAGTAACGCTGTTAAATACAATATTTTATTCATGGAATATATAATATCCCACTTTGCTGTTAACTGAACAGCATTTACACTTTGATAGAAGTCTCTGCTTTTGAGAGAACAAAGCAATGGTAGCCAAGTGATCAAAAGACACAAAATGTATGTATGTAAGTATGTATGCAGGAAAGTAGAATTGTCTGGAAAATAGGAACTGTACTGTCAGATTAATTAGAATTATGCTTCAGTAGGTGCCTAGGGAAGCAATACCTGTAATTCAATACCAAACCAACATCATCTCTTACTTTTGGAGTGTGTAGAGAGGACTTGGGGAGCTTTGGGGTGTGTGGTGTGAGCACATCCCACAGACACACCCGGAACAGCCTGAGCAGGGGCTGCATCCATGGCACACGGGCACGGGGAAAGCTCCCAAAAAAAAAAAAAAAAAGGAGATGCCAACCCTCAGCCCTGCCAGGGCAGCTCAGCAGGGGCAGCTGAGCCTGGGCATGCACAGGGCAGGGAAGGGAGAGCTGGAAGTTCTCAAGGGTGCAGAACCTTTTGTTTTATTCATCCCACAGTGCCCAGCTCTGGGGGCTGGCTGTGCCCCTTCCCCATCCCTGATGGATCCTGCCCAGCTCCCAGGGCTGGCTGTTCCCCTTTTCCATCCCTGATGGATCCTGCCCAGCTCCCAGGGCTGGCTGTGCCCCTTTTCCATCCCTTTTCCATCCCTGCCCAGCTCCCAGGGCTGGCTGTGCCCCTTCCCCACCCCTTAGGGACCCTGCCCTGTTCTCCTCCCCCTGTACAACACCCCCACGTTCATGTTTGGAGCTGCTGGTTCTTAACTCATCTTGGGGAATGTACAAGAAGCCCTTACAGCCATACACAGCACCAAGAGTCCATTATAAAATGGAGAAAAGCCTTGTATTGCAAGGTGGAATAAACCCCCTATGACTGAAATGCTGATTTTTCATAGCAGATGTGCTCTTTTATGGAATTTAAATCATGTGCACTACATTGAAATACACGGTAGTGTATTGTGAAATGCATACATTAATTGCTGAATTATAACACTGGATATGTATATACATCACACCCGAGATATTTATACAATATAATAAGTCTTAGATGTATAACATAATGAATTCTGTACAAAATAAACTGTAAGTTAAGACAATGAAACAGAACTTTTATATCTGTGTAATTTGTATGCTGATTAAGTTATTCAAGCTTCACTTTTCATCTTTTAATGTGCCCTTTAAAAAAATACTTATTTTCTATAGGCAGATGTCTGAAATAAAGACTTGAGTCTTCAGAAGAGAAGCAAATGAAAGACTGAAAGAAACAGATTTTGCTGGAGAAATAAACACAATGTTCATGTGGTTGTTTTTTTTTTTTTTTTTTTTTTAAATCTGACTAAACCATTTTGTGTCAATGCTGGTCAGGGTGAGCTGCTGGCTGGGTTGAGGGTGATGTGCCCCTGCCAGGTGAACAGGAATCACCAGTGTGTGGATTTCTCGTGTGTCTCCTGCCTCAAAGCAACACAAATCCCTGCATTCCACTGCCCAAGGGTTTGAATTCTGAGCTCTGTCATCCTTTCCCTTACACAGTGAGGGCTGAACATCCCAAATGAGCAAAGAACATGCTCAGATTTCAAGGGAAAGGTGACAAACCAAACAAACCAAACCCATCCCTTGAGCTCTCCCCTGGGAATCACCACAGGTCAGACATTGGGTTCACTCCTCTGAATTCTCTACAGTTCCCATTACACTCCAAGAAGCCTCAAAATTCTGAAGTGACCACTGACCTCACCATCAGAGCTGCAGGGAAGTATCTTGCTGATGCTAAAAAAGGAAAAGTTGAGTCCCCTTTTTTTTGCTCCAGAGGTTGGAAATTCTGGCAGAGCCAGAACCCCATAAATACTGAAATCCTGAAATCCTGAAATCCTGACAGCTCAGTCATTTGGCCTCCTGCAGGCACTGGGAAGCAGCCTCAGGAGCTGCCTCCTTCCCCTTGTGCTGCTTCCAGCTGCCCACACCTGAGATCTGCCTGTCCAAACTCACTGCAAAGCCAGGGGCTGCCTTTGTACTCATGGGAGCAATTTAACACCACCTGAAGGATTTAATGAGCACTATTGTAATTTCTAATGTGTTGAAATGTGTTTTTATACAAAGTCAATTGGACAAATGGATTGAAAAATGTGATTTAGGAAGTGCCTCAGAGAAGCAATTCTTTGGCATGGTTTGGGCACAGATTCCAGTCGGTCTCCTCTTGCTGTTCTAAACACTGGAATA